TTTTCCAAAGATCCTCTAAAAACCCGATCTCTGGAATTTTTTCAAAAGTTGCTTCCGCTTGTGAAAAGTTCTGCTCAAGTCTTGGCTATTGAACAACGAAAATCGCAGGTCTCTATCTCATTCCTATCAAAAGTTATTCAAAAAATGCCCACGGGTCTTGTATTTTGGGATGGATAGTAGTTTCTGAAATTTTCAAAAAAATGCCTCTGTTTTTAAAATAATTCAAATTTTTGTCTTTATCGTTCTTTTCAAGTATTCAAACTAATTTTTTCTGATTTAGGATCAAAAAGTGGTTCTAAAAATGATCAAATAGATAGATAATAAGATATAAACCATCTTTATCATGATGAAAAAATATAGCTACTTTCGGTTAGAGCCATTTCGTCACGATAAAGGTGGTTTATATCTTATTATCTATTTTAAAATTTCTCACCTTAAAAAATGATTCAAATCTAAAAATGATGTTGAATTGACTACGAAAGCATTAGCGTTTCGAGTTTGATAGCTGAAATTAGACCCGTAAAATGATACCCGATCATTTTGTAAAACTATCTAATTTTTTTGTTAACACTTGTAGCCAGAATTTTTATTTCATCTTATTCCTTGGATATTGAGCTTCAAAAGAATATATCAGCTTTTTTTACTTTGCTTCCTCTCTGAGAAATTTCACTTCTATTAAAATTTTGACTTTTCTGCCCAAAATCGAACTCGTATTTCGACATTTTCTCCATCAAAATTTAACTTTTCGACAAAAACAAGGTCATATTTGGAATGAGCGTCAAAAGCTTAGTCGAATGATGTGAGTTCTGGAATTTTCGGACAACTTCGCATTTTTACGAGTTTTTCAATTTTTTTCCTTCTTGAGCATAGTTGTTTTGTGAAGAGCCTATGATTCTGTATGTGGTCGTATATCTGATGGCTATTAGTATCATAAATAAAAATAAAATGTAAATAAAATTTTTTACTTAATATCTTGAAATTTCTGTTTCCAAGTTAAGATCTTGGGTACAAGAAGTTTCACTAGGGATATTCAAAGTTGTGGCAGATAGTTTATATTTGATTGTAGATATCATGTCGAAAAGTGTTCATTTCACAAAAATTATACAGTTCCGCTGAAACTTGTTCAATTTCGTTCAAGACGTAACAGAAAAAAGCCTTCAGTTTTAGACTTGATTGATTTCATTATATGTTTCTTGATGTCATCACCACGTTTCTCAATACCATAAAATTTGGCTTATATCAAACGTTTTGTAAAAGATTCGCTGAATTATGTCAATGTCGTCAAAAACGAGCGATATTAGATCGCTTAAGATAAAAGAATATATAGCTAGGAAGACAATGAATAGAGTAGTTTTTGAACATCTATTAATAATTGATGAAAAAAAAATCGCCACCTTACTACATCTGGTGTGTGTGTTCATTTTAATTATTACTTTCGGGAACTATATAGCTAAGTACTCCTATGAAGGAAAATATGGACATTTGAAGAATAACACACACTCAACAATTTTATGTGATAAGAAGAGAAGAGAGTATATTTTTTTATGAACCCACCCTATACTTTTATTCACTGTTATATCGGTTGAGTTAGCTGTATGTACGGTTCAATGAACATGCTTATGTTCATTGTGTATGTGCTTTGCATCATAAAAAGTGAAAGAGAAATGAAACTTAGTGAGTGTCCAAAGAGATCTGGTGTTTTTATATTTCTTCTTATGCTCTCTCTCTCTCTCTCGTGAGAGAAAATAATATATCATACAACTTTTTAAAAGTACAAATATTTATACATATACTTCATATCGAGCGAGATCGGCGCTGATGATGATGATGATGATGATGATGATGATTATTATTATTATTATTATTATTATTATGATGATGATGGTTAGAACAAGCTAAAGGAAGAAGAGAAAGGAGGAAAAAAATTTACTTTTTTTTCACAGGTCAAATATATTTTTTAGAAAAAAGACTCGACCAGCTCTCACACATATTTGATTGTTCACGATAATTTTAACTGTTTGTCGTTTGACAATATCTATTCAACATCTTTTAAACCTCTACTCTTTCTTTTTCTCTTTCTTTTTGTGTGTGTTAAACTTTGATAATAATTTTTTGTCCATATTTATTCATTGTTGAATCAAAAACTAAAATTAGTGACAAATAAAAAGTTATAAATACATATACATCCGATCACATCGTGATCGATCAAATAATTATTACTCGTTGTTGTCCCGTTGTCTTTCAATACGTTTATGTATTAAAAACAAAAACGAAGAAGAGTATGAAAAATATCTATCGTCACCTTTTATGAAGGTCATAGGTTGTCATCTCATCTTATCTTCTTTGGTATTATTTACAATATCCTATTATTTCTAAATCCAGTATAATAAGAGAAGAAGAAAGAGAAGAAAATTTAATTCGCGTTTTTTATTTTTCACTTATTATATTAAACATACGGGATGACTTATTGTTTTGACATTAAAATTCTCTACGAAACACACGCTAATTGATTAACGACACTCACATTAACAACAATGTATCAATGTATTATTCCACCACGTATATGGTTATCAGTTGGATTGAGTTTATTGATATTCGGTTTGGTTTTGGGATGGATTTCATTAGCCGTACCTGATTGGCTACAATATTATGAAAACAATAATTTAAATCAAGAATCATCAAACGATTTGAGAAAATTTGGACTTTGGAATAATTGTACATTTAATACGAGATTAAATGACTATGATTGTACATCTTGGAATGGAAATGCACCGAGTAAGTTTTATATACCTTGAATGACTATCTTAGTAAATCTATTTGCGAGTGGGTTCTTGTTTATTCATGAACTTAGGTGAATATTTGAGCAATCACTTTCAGACAAGTATTTCAGATACTTGATTTACTTTTAGATCTCTAACAGGTACTTGCATGTTACTTGAGCAAGTGTTTGACTAAGTAATTGACAAGAAGGTAAAGTCACTTAAGTACTTAACTTTCTCGACAAGCACTTAATTTACTTGCAAAACATCTAAGAAACGCTGGCCAAGACTTGAAAGAGTACTGGGACAAGTATACTTTTATGCAAGGGCATGATACTGTAAGGTCATATATTTACAGCGTTTTATTCAATATTTAATTCTGTCTGTGTAGTCTCGAAGCTAGGAGCGAACAACTGTACATTAGTATTCTGTAGAAAAATATAGATGAATACGTACAGTTCGTTTTGATTTTTAGTTGATGAATTATAAAATGCGAAAACGAAAACTTTTGTAGTTGAATACATTATAAATTATTTCAGTTTTACAGACTTGTATACAATACAGTTTTTCTAGCACAAAATATATTTTTTTACAGGTTTTGTACGTGTTACACAATCTCTTATTCCAATCGGTTTGATATTAGGAACAGTCTCATTATTAGCAGCATGTATCGGTTTTACATCTCGAAAAGCATTTAATGCAAGTGTGCTGTTTGCTGGTCTGTTTTCATTTTTATGCTGTAAGTTTTTGTATTTTGTATATGCATAATCATCATCACGGCGGTTAGTTTATTAATCTGTTTAGTTGTTTTTACAATAATTGGTCTCACTGTATTTGCTACAGAATCATTAGCTTTTATCGAAAGAATGCATACAAATTTAAATTCACGTCGATATGGCATGTGGCTGATGATACCATGTTTAACATTTTCATTTTTGGCTGCATTATGTTTTATTGTTGCTGCCATTTTGAATTGGTACGACTATAAAAGTATGAAAGTCACAGGGATATTAAATCATAGTACTGATAAGTTTGGTAGTGTATTCAAAGCACCATCGGAGAGGTAAAGTAAAGCCTATTTGTTTAGTTGAATATATTCTCTATATATTTCTTTTAAGTAATATGACGGCTTTCAAACATCAACAATTAGCTCAAACAAAACCGATAATGCCGGCTCATCAATATCCAGAAGCGTGTTATCAACTTGGCGCTGTCCCAGGTTATCCACCACCACCAAGTTATGCTCCCCAATTAAATGGTGCTATCAATCCGGCATTTCACTGTGGTCTCTATGGTTATTCTCGACCACCAAGTCCCAGTACGAATTTCCTTTATAATGTACGAAAAGGATATTTTCAGAAATAGTCTCGTATCTTCATTTATGTCTATATTTTGTATTTCAGCCCGACTTGTATCATCATCGACATTACATAACTGAGGTAGATGCATAGAGCAATCACGCATGTACTGACATTGTAGAAATATGTGTTTTTATTTTCAAATAGAATTCTGATCTTGAAGATGTTCCAAAAAACAGTCGTTCAAGAAAACGTTCTCAGTCTCGACGTCATTCTGGTCATCGTTCGAGATCACATAGTCCACGTGAAAATAATAACAATGGACATAATCAGAATCAACCCCAATACATTCCGATCCCTATACCATATTATCAACCGCAGCCGCAACATCCAGCACCATCCGCAAACGGAACAGCTCAACAACTGCCACAAATGCCCTACGTCATTCAAACATCAAATCAAAATCAACCGACTCAATACATTGAAGAACTCGTACAAACAATTCCCCAATCAAGAATTATAACAGAGGTAAGAACTATATATACAACACTTAAATCGCGCTTACATGAAGGGAGCGCATTGAGAATATTAATAATAATAACTTTAGGCGAAGGGTAACGTTCTTACTTATCCTGTATTAACTAATGGTTCACTATTGATGAACACAAATCCGATTCAACTCACTGGTGGAGGTCAAACTCAACAACCTGTTTATGCAATATCTTATCGCACAAATAATTCATCCATTATTCCTTCAAATGGTCAACAAATAGCAATAACCACGGGACCACCAGCTACATCCTACGTTACCACAGCAGCTAATCCTTCAAGAGGCCCTTATATGTATTCTCAAGCAAATACCGACCAGATTTTTGAAATAACATCCGATGATGATGAGAATATGATGCAACAAACACAACAAAAATTAGCTACAATACCAAGAAGAAATGATCAAAACAAAGTATGTTACAGTCATTTCTTTATAAAGATTCTCTCAAGCAAATAGTAAAAAAAACATGTAGAAAACTTGATAAACTTGTTTTGGTTGGCTTTGAGAGAGATATTCAATATATCAGAAGCAACTCCCTTGACAATCTCAAGTTTCTTGCGTAAAACCCGTTGTTATACATTCGAACAGAAGATTAATAGTATCAGCGACGTTTCACCACAATACTGTATGATAATTTGATAAAAAAACTCTTTTGATATTTTTCTTATTTTTTATAGTCGATCAAGGAAGCTTGGACGTGGCGAAAATTATAACAGATTCAAATATACAAATATTACATTAATATATAAATATAATTCTTATGAGATAGGTCAAGTCACCAATACGTCTACTGTGGAAAAGCATCCGATCTTCTATAGCAATCTAATCGCGTGTATGAAGAAACTGATATGAAATTAGAGAGAAACTCTAATCAGTTCACATAACTAGAACAGAAGAAAATGGTACAAAATAATGCTCTATCTTTGTTATATATAGTATTTTTTTCTTTCGCTTATTTTGTGATCACTTTTATCTTTATGTGTTGCATTTGTTCTATTTTATATAGAACATGTTGTAGTTCCATTAAAAGACTAAGAAGAATACCACTACAGAATGTTTTTACAGGATTGAGAGTAGCTCTATCTAAACTTATTTCGTAGATAACATATCAAAATTTGCTGATTTATCAAAGCGAAGAAAAAAAATAAGGTTCATGCAGAGTCGCGGAAAAATGTTTTTTTGTATTTAACACACTCGTTAATCTCAAAGATTTTCTATTTTTGGCGTGGGATACTCGCAAAAGTTTAGAAAATTTTTTCGAATAACATGGCGAAATTTAAACCTATTCTTACTATACAAAATGCGATTTTCTTAAAATTTAACAAGAAAAGATGAAAATTTGTCTTGTTCGCCTTAAGAAAGGAAAATAAAATGAAGCTATTGAACTTTCTCTGTTCGGATATAGCAGAAAAATTTATAAGTACTTTACAGCTGTAGTTTAGAAATTATGAGTTTTGGCAAAATTGATAAAAGAAAAAAGATTCTCCTTCAATTATTTGTGATTATAAAGAGTTTTAAAATATAGGCAATTGACAGAACTTTTGAAGAGCTACAAAACGGCTATATTCTATATTTTATGTGCAAATTATGAATGACGAAAATTAGCAAAAATGTCTTTTAGGTTACAAAGTATTTCCTCTAATAGTAGGGTTTAAGTTTCACAATATTTCCTCTAAGTTTTTGTTTTTGAGCTCTAAAAACAGAAATTTTTCCTTATGTTTTTGTAGAGCAGCAGATGAGGTCGCATCCAATGAAAAAATAATTAAGAGTTGGAAACATAACAAAAAAAAGTTCTACACAAATTACATCACCAACATTGTCGGAGTTAGAAATTACCGCTTAATGCTTGCAAACATATTGCTTATAGTTCTTTAAAAAAGTTAAAGTGAGTAAACAGTCGAATGAACTATTTAATGGATTTTAAATGGCTATAACATCTCTTTTCCGGCGCCTATTGATATACCCTCGCAATGTCACTCATCATTTAAATCATTAAGTCGACCGTGTGAAACGAAATGAAACCTATTTTTCTTCACCAAAAACACCGTTTATCTGTTGAGCCAGTTCCTGATTCTCATTGGTCACTGATCATACACATCTGAGAGAAAGATTCCTTTTTCCAACATGTAGATGAATAATGTGAAATGACTTTTTTGTTGTATTTTAATATCTATTCGATCAAATAAATATGTTTTTATAAATCCGGTTGTATAGCTGATCTAATCCTGAGATAACTGACTACCTTCTACGAAATAGTGACTTGTTACTAAATAGTGTCTACGTTGCATAATCTACAATAAATTATTATGCAGTAAATTAGTTCTCGAGCTAAATAGAAATACATTAGTCTGAAGAAAACTGTTACCCAGATCCTGCTACGTTGACAGATATAACCAATGAAGTAACTGAAAGTCTTTGTCCTACTAGTAGAATTTTGAAAAATAATGAAATAAAGTACGACAGGTCATCCTGTGCAGGCATGTACCAACTCTTTTTTTAGAAACTATAGAAAATAAAAGTGTAACTCCAAAGCCATTGATTCTAAATGGTTTTTGAATCCGTAGAATTGTCCAGAACAATTATAATAATAATTTTTCTCTGCAAAATTACATATAAATCGATCCTACTTTTAAAAAGAATGGTTTTTAATGTTGAATTTAAGGCTGTAGCAAACTTCCCAAATAGCGTATTTTGCAGAGTAAAATATCGATTGGAATCTCACATCATAGAGAACAATTAGTAACAAATACAAGAGATTCAACTATATCTGCAGATGGATCAAAAACCAATTCTGGAATTAGTACATTCCCAGACAGGACAAATGTAGGTCTACTAAATTGCTGCGGAGAGTCCGCCCGAGCTTTACAAATCGGCAGATGTTCACTGTTAAAAAAATTCACATTAGATCTTAGGGGCAGCCTACCACCTTCGTGTGAATTTTCCGCTATGATAAGTTTACGCTAAATATTCGGTTGCATTTACATTTTTTAAAAAATTTTTTTATCGTGTTAATTCACATTAGATTGTAAGAAAAGTTCACATTAGATCTTAGGGGAAGCCTACCACCTTCGTGTGAATTTTCCACTATGATAAGTTTACACTAAATATTAGTTATATATACATTTTCTTTAAAAACTTTTCTATCGTTTTAATTCACATTAAAGCATACGGTTGATTTATCTTCCAAAACCTTTCTCGGTGTAAATTCATTTTGTCTCAATGTTTAGAAAATTCACAGAAAAAATTATTGCTTGTATGTATTCACACTAGATTTTGTATTCGTTTTGTGTGAATGTGCCTGGCCGTAGCGTATGTTCACATTATATATATTTATTTCCTTATTTGTTTAATTTTGAAATCAAGCTCATAATTGTTCAATGTTTATTTTTTTTTCGAGTTTGTTTAAAAAACCAATGATATGATACAAAAAAAACTGAGAATTGGAATAAAAAAATATCTGGCTGTCTATAGTGAAGAGAATTTGTCGTTTATTTTCAAAGGAAAATTCTTAGTGGCATCAACACCCATAAAACCTTCTCAAAAGTCGGCCACACTTGCAAGAAGTTTTTATATGGTATAATTGCCTGCTGGAGTAAATTATCTATTTTTGCAAAATTATAGTACAGAGTGCTATTGATAGAACTGAATGCTCCAAAAAAGCTACTTAATTTATATCTGTTCCTGGTACCACAAAAATAAAAATTCATCAATGTACGTGTGATTATGTTAGAAAAAAAGCTCACACAACAGAAAATGTCAATTATAAAACACCAATTTTTAACATAATAATATAAATATTATACACATTAATTATTGATTGAATATAATCTATTCGATAAATTAATGACTGGTATCGATGCAACATACTGATAAAACACACAACATACGTAATGCTTGTTCTTATAAAACATTTTTTCTATTTTTTTCTCTCTATATATAAGTCAGAAAGTACGTCCACGTTCTTTAGTGTGAGTTTACACGTGTATGTCTTTACCCTAATGTAATTATACACGAATCTCTAATAGTGATTTTAAAAATAACAAATTTGAATGTGAATTTATCTATGTATGTCAGTACTCTACCGTAACTAATACACGAGTCTCTAATGTTAATTATATATAATATAATGTTTATATTCTAATGCGAATTTATATCAGAGGCATTATAAGAACTTAAGCTTGAATTAACATTAAAGTAAGGCATTTTTCCATACTGACTTTTAAAAGGTAAATGGCGATCGAGCACATTAACATTACTACGTATGAGAAAACTACCGAAATCAGAAAAGAAAAGATAATCCAGTATAATGTAAACTCATTTTATCGTTCATGTATACTTTCCTCAAAAGGTAAATTCATATGTATCTGAGAGGTCATATTTTCGCTCTAATGTAAATAGAAACCAATCTTCAATGTCAACATAGGCGAATATCTATATTTTAATGTGAGTTCACACTAAACGAAAATTATAAAGAATTTAGTTTGAATTAACATTAAAGCAAGGTGTTCTTTCAGGCTGACTATTACAGTAAAAGTATCGATAGAGCAGATTAACATTAATACAAAGAATAAAACTACCAAAACAAAGTGGGTAGTATTAGCTTAGGTTATAATGAAAAAATAACCGAAGATAATGTTAATTTACCTTACACTTTTTACAGTGTTGCCGATCTGAAATTGCAGTAATATATAGGTCCGGTAGTGTAATGGTTAATATACACGTCTTCCAAACACACAGTAGTGAGTTCAAATCTCACCTGGACCGGTATTTCCTTTTTATTTTGCGTCTTATTGTAAGACACTTTGATGCGACTTATAGTAAGACACACAAGTCGGATCAGAAAAAGATGCTTTAATGTATCTTACTGAAAGACACATTGAAGTGTCTACCCTCATAAGATACATATAATATCTTCCAGTATTTCTTTTTAGAATGTAGGCACTGTATGTGCGTAATACACTGACAGACAGTCTATTTATTTCCCGAGTACACAAAGACATAGAAGAATGTTTCTTATATCATTGACAAGCAAAACAAAAAGGCGCATAAAAACCATGTGGGAGATGTGCGCAGGTTTTTGGAAGATCTAAAGCCATTTAAAACTGAAACTTTACTGCTGTATGCGTCGACCTACGAAAATGGACAGACCTGTTCATACCCATCAGTCAACACTCTTTTTTTAAGGAAGAATGTGTCATTTAGCATTGTTTATTTGATGATTACGGATGTTGTACACGAAAAGAAAATGCAAAAGCTCTTAGTATGATTCATTAAAAATTCTCCAATATTCTACTAATAGATTTTTACACCATTTTCAAACTGACTAGCTATCTACTACTTCCTTCAATACTGTTGGCGTGTGATAGCCGACTGAATAATACAATTATGGATCAGCAATATGAATAATATAATAACAAAACAAAAAGAAGACAAACTCAATAAAATCTGGAAAAAATGTTCGCTGCTGGAGAAAGATTGCTGTTTGCTAGAACAGACAACCATCGGTGAATGAACATTTTTTCTAGATCATTGAGTTATGCAGAAGAGATGGGATTGCCTTTATTAGATCTTTCAGTAACTCAATATGTTCCACGAAGTACATCACTTTTACAGTAAACAGTCCATGTGAGTTTCGAAATGGATATCATATTGTTCCAGAGTATAACTTGAGGAAGGTGTGATGGTGCAAATTTTGGATGTTGTAGATGTTATGGTGGTAAACGGCAATTTAGACTTTTTAGACTTTTAGACTTTCTTCTAGAAAAAGCTAACATCCAAAAGTGCTCACCTTGGAGTTTAAGTATGGTGACTCACCCTCAAACTGCCCCTCCCCCCCCGCGGCTGCACAGTCTAAAGGTCTAAAAAGTCTAAACCGCCATTCACCACCATAACATCTACAACATCCAAAATTTGCACCATCACACCTTGATGTATAACTTACCTGTATGAAAGTGTACTGAACTGCCAGGACGAAACAAATGATGAAACATTATTAATATTAGGAGAAATTTATAAATGTCTGTTCATGGTGCACAATTTTGTGCATAAAAAGGCACAATTATTTTTATGTACATATGGCTGGAGATGTGAAAATAGCTAGAATGCAAAATTTATTTGTTCTATTCATCCGATATTGACAATCATCTCAATCACCTAAGTCCAATTTCGATACAAATCTAGTAAATTTTGCAAATCAAAGAAAACAAACTGCCGAACAGTTTAGAATCCATAGTTGAAACAATACTGAGCGACGTTCTAACTCCCAATTGCGGATCAAATGATAAGAAGCTTCATTCTATTTTATAGTTAACTTATTGAATGATATTTGCAGAAAGCTTTCGTTGAAACTTTTGTCTCACGAGTTCAAAATTTGCATGTAAACTTTTTTCCAAAATATGTAAGTTTTTTAGCATTCGATGCAGCATTTCCGGTGGATTTCGAATGTCACACTAGTTTTGAATACAAGAAAGTCAAAGGAAATAAAAGGTTCCTTTCACTTTCTGAATGAATACCATACTGGTATTCACACACTTGTTATGGTGAATTTTTGAAAGAAGATTTTTCTCTTCGAATTGTTCTATATCTGAAGAGACAATCGTTGACTTGTTACTAGTAACCCAAAAGTGCAAATGTTTTTACCAAGAGGTGAGCTTGGTAAAAGAAAAATTGGCAACTATTTGTGATAAACAATAATTAAATTAGAAATTTTTATTCTATTACAGATACTTTTTCAGACATCTTCTGTGCATCGAAAATTTTTGCGAGTTTGAAGTACACCACCGACTGGTCGTGTGATTAACAGAATTCTATTTATTTGAATAACAATCAATATATGAAGAAAAGCAAATGGTTTTGTAAACATAGAAGGTTTTTGTTGAAATGATCTGCTCGACAGTGATCATAGTGATAAGATAATCTAGTCAACTATCATCTGCTGTAACGCGTCCATGCATCGATCGCGTAAGTCAGTCAATACCGTCGCAGAAATGAGAGGACAGGCGCCACCGAACATCATCGTCAAAACACCATTCACCGTCTGGATATTAGTGAAAGGAAACGCGCTTCGAAGAAGATTCATGAATGGAGTCATGGCGGTGAGCTGCCACGGACCGTACTGTTCAACGAATGGCAGGACACCCCAACTGGACGTGCCATATGTTGGCAGATACGCCATATTGATTGGACGCAGCGCCAAACTGCCGAGCTTCCCGTTGATCAAACCAGACGCGAGTACTTGACCGGCGTTGACGCAAGCATTCGTATGTTGACCAAAGCTCTGCGCCAACTGCCACGAATCTTCGGACGTCTTGGGCAAAGCGCTCATACGCAGACAAAATGGTGCAATGCCTGAAGCGTAGTAACCAAAATCGTGATTAGGAACTGTTGGTGCGCAACGTCGTCGAGTATCGGCGCTCAGCATAATCATCATGATCGTACCTTGGCCATCTTTGACTGGTACCAAACTAGCTGCTGCCGATGAAAGAGCGCCGGTCACAGCAGAGGTTATTGATACGCCTTCCCTACGACATCTAGCGAGTAACTTGGTCGTCATTTCCTTGTTCAACACGCCATAAACAGCTTCCGTATGGCAGTATTTATCCATCTCATCGATACTGAAGGTGACTTCGTCAAGAGGTATTCTTGCAATCGGTAATCTGTTAGTCATAAGTGTATAGATTATGGAGAAAAGCAATCGACTCACCGTGAACACTCGGTTCACGGCCGATAGACTGTTTCGAATAGCATTCTCCATCGTCTCTGGCCAAAGCAACGGTTGGTCGCATGCATGCCCGGTCTCGTCTGAGAGAATCCGCAGCAGTTCGTGGGCAGCGTTACTCAAACACAGGGCGTCACAAATGCTGTGCTCACACATGATTACCACCTCGCGAAACCCATTCGCGTCTTCTTTATCGTCCGGATCCTAAAACAGCCCTCGTGTGTCGCCTTTACTCCAACCTCGCGTATTCAGACTCTTACCTGCAGCAGCCACAGCTTAGCCAACGGTTCACCAATGTTGATTGGTTCCTTTTCTCGCTTGGGCCATTCCTGCAGCCAAAAACTTGCATGTTCCTCGCGCTTGCGCGCTAGTTCTTCTACAGGCAGCCGTAGCGCTTCGTCTTCTTCGAGCACAAAACAGTCGCGTTTAGTCGGGTGAGTTCGAAGACGGCTTCGTAGAACAGGATGGCGACGCTGCAGAAGAGCAACGGCCCTGTTCAGTTGTTCCAGAGAGATGTACGGCCCTTGCAGATGAAGAACTTCTCCCATTCGCATGGCACCGTGGAAGCGTTGTGATATTTTAATCATCATATTCTCCGCGGGACCGCATACGTGCTGTTTGGGACCAGCGTCGGGCGCTTTCCTCCAGAGATAACGGAGCATGGTGTCAGGTGACGAAGGCCACAATCTATAAGCACAAGTGCAACAATAAAATTGTCGTCGATTATAGACCCGCAGAGCGCATGAGACTGGTCGGATAATCACGAGCAAACACGCGGAATAACATTTACGAGAATGGTAGTGATGTTGTTCGTTGACAACTTTTCTCGAATGACTATTTTGTCGACAAGACATTTATCCACATGGAACTTTGTCGACAAGACATCGGTCGACGTAGAACTTTATCGACCGATGTTTAGTCGTCACGTTTTACAAAAATTATCATGTCTATGGAAGGTGAGTGAATGTATGTAGTTGGGAGAAATTATTAACTGGGAAATTCTTCCAAATGGTTGCATCATCACTGCTGATCTCTACTGTCAACAAGTGGATCGGGTTGCCAAAAAACTCAAGGGAAAGCAGGATCGAATTTACTTCTTGCATGATAATGCAAGACCCCATGTTGCATAGTCAACTTGCGAAAAATTATTGAAGCGCGGATGGATTACCATTCCTCATCATCTGTGTGAGAAAAAGTTCCACGACGAGAACGACGTGAAAGTGGATATCACCAGCTTCTTTGGTCAAAAATCCTAGAACTTCTACGAACGCGGGATCCTTTCTCTACCAAAGCGTTGGCGACAAGTTATAGATAGTAGTGGTACATATATAAATGAAAGTTAGTTGTACTGTTAGAGTTAAAAAGAAAAAGAACATTTTTGAAAAAAACGCAAAAAACTTTCTTACAACCTAATATATGTAATCTACGGTATTGTCGTGTTCTGCTTTTTCTCTCATTTTTCTCGTTCTGTCAGCCGAGAAAAAACAACGCACGCTTACTAACATTGTGTGTTCGACGTAGAGTATTATAGTTGACGCCTTCGGTTCGGCTAAGGAAGAAAAAGAAAAAAAAGAAAATGCGTCAAGACCAGTATTTGCAATCCATAGAAAACAGATTAAACTATATATCTTTCTTTTTTTTCTTTTTCTTCCTAAGCCGAACGAAAGGCGTCAACTATAGTAAATCTTCCGGACAAACCCGAGATCTAATGCGAACCAACCGACAGCTTATTCAATTTTCTATTTAACCCAGCCAGATAGGGTAGGGCCGGGCCAAAAAAATTTTATAAGTAATGTTTTGACAGGGCCGGGCGGCACGACAGGACAGGGCGAAAAATGCTGCCCTGCGACGGTCGCTGATGCCAGCCAACTTATCTAGCTGGACAAAATTCCAACATGCCTTGATTGTTTAACCCTTTGGCTCCCGGCGACACATAAATGCATCTAGTTGCAATTATTGCATGATCATAATAGCTAGAATAAATTTGAAAAAAGATTTGAATAGCTGAAAGAATTTCTCAGGATCTCAGATAGTGTATACAAAGGGTCCATCAAAACTCCTGAAATTAGGGTCTCTGGAAAACTCAAATCTCAGAAAACCAAGTCCCAGAGTTCAATTCAGAAATTCTTTGCAAATAAGTCCATCGTGTAGAGCAAACATTTCTGAAGAAATTGAGACGTCTCCGAGCTGTTTACGACATTTTCTCATGGAGAAAGAATCAATTTACAAAAGGTCCTAAGG